TGGCGCTGTCACATATAAGGACGCCAGGGAGAGCGGATGACAGCGCGCTTTTCCTTCGATCCTGTTTTTGCCGACATGATTTTGTTATACGTTAATTTTGCTTAACTTTCATTTGAATAAAATTATTTAGTATTATTTCTGCCCATTGAATTACTTTGTGATTTCTGTATGTTGTATTTTATTGTATTTTTTTTTTTATCGCTTTTTGGTACAACTCTTACCTGGCAAAACAAAAAAGATTCTCCAGTTCGCAGCCTTCTTTTACACATTTTTTAATAGAAATTGATGTTTTTATTAAATCTCTTAGACTAGTTAATAATAAGAAAAGTGATTGATTCTTAGTTTTTTATGATAAATATTTTGGAAATATCACGGATACATAAGTCCTTCTTTCCGCTTGCTGTATTTGTGCTATGTATGTATATGCTTAAACCTATTTATTTATGTTTTCTTTCTTTTCTATTTTTTGTTTCTCTTTTTGTTTAATTTTTAATGTTTATAACATAAAAAAAAAATTTAAAAAGATAATATTGAGAGTTGACTTTGTCCTCAGAGTAAGGTGGACAGGGAAGATGTCATACGACTTCCATCCTACATACACGTAGTCAGTCCATTGTTTAAAACACCAGGTAACAGGTAAGAAGTGAATGCCACTTATGTATTTGTTTTGTTTTTAGTTCAGAATAGGTAAGATACGAATTTTGGTTGAATTCAGGTTGGATGTTGTACATTGAAATTGGCCTAGGCTTGGGAGGTATCCAAATTTTGATACCGTCAAACCTTCTCCCTATTTTACCTCGATATCCGGTATTACCGAGCATAATAAAAAAAATGATGATGTAAGGCTCAGACAGCGTCACCAAACTGTTGGCTTGTGCCTAAACCATTCAGAAACTGAATACCATATATGCGACAATAGGTTCGCAGCCACCTGTTTGTCTTGTTTGCATCAGAGATCTGCGCGGGATGCTCTCTCTCATTCACACACATGCACACACACATGCACACACACACTCACACACACACTCTCACACAGAGAGAGAGAGAGACAGCACCAAGCGACGCACAGCACCACTCTCTCTTTCTCTTTCTCTCTCTCATTCACACAAACACACACACACACACACACACACACACACACAAACAAACACAAACAGCATCCATGCGCGTGCTCGCTTGTTTGGGAGCGATATTGTTAGACCGAGCGCCCACTCCCTTTCAATTTACACCAGAGTTACCGACCGTTTCTGTGCTTTATTCAAAAATGTATTCCCGCACCGCAAGAAATCTAGTCGGATCTCGCGGTACAGCAGCGGAAATACTGCCAAACTGCAGGTCTCTTGGTGCTCTCTCTCTCTCCTCCACACTTTCCTGTGATGACAATCACGCATACGCATTTGTAGGCATTAATTAAATAATATTTAATAATTGTCATTGTTTTTTATGATGGTATAACGGTACTGAAACTGACACCATTGCTATTTTTAGATCCCGCTGCATACCATATTACCGTATTACCGGCCAAGCCTACATTGGCCTGACGTTGGGTTCTGATGTCAACCCAATTTTCATTTCTAAACAAAATGCAACATCCCTACAATGTTGGGGTACAACGTCAATCTGATGTCATGTTGACCTCCTGTGCCTGCTGGAAAGTACATAGTTCGATTAACGTCATTACATCACCATTCGACCAAACGATCACTCTGTGCCACAAACTGAATATTATTTGCAACTGCATTACTTGTTACTTGCAACATATGCAGGTTCTGTTCACAAAAGTAGACGCACGTGCATCTATCATTCAGAGAGAATGCGCGCCCTCTCTGTGTTCAGCTCACGGTCAGCAGCTCACGTCACGTGTGATTTCCAATCGCGAAAACATCATTACATTAAGACAAAAATGACATTTTTGTCTTAATTTTTTCTTCTCTCCTGAACTTGAAAATATGATTGACAGAATCGTACAAATGCTGGATTAAGATTGTCTAGGGGGTCGAATTGAGATCGTGATCTTTTAACGATTAATTGTTCAGCTCTATATGACACCATATGTAATTTCGGCTATTTCGTTTTTGAATTTTCATTTTAAAGCAGCAGTTAGGTTCTCGCACTATGCATGCAAACAGATGACAGCGGATATAAATTCTCAAGCAGCAGGCCGCCTCTGCCATTTCGTTCACTAACCCTTCATTCTTGCCCCTGCAACAAAGTCAAGGGAGTTCATATTGTCAGTCAAATCCAGAATTCTCAGTACAGTCATTGTTTCCCGCTCGCACCCTGTCATGCTAGATGCATCATACAGTACTCACTTTTTAACAAGTTCATCATCCTGATTGGTCAACTTCTGATAGATTGGCTCATTCGACCACACACACCTCACCAATTTAAGCCGACAGCTGCCTAAATCTTTTTGACATTTTTAAAATGAGAGCTCATAAGCCACTTGGCCTGGCTTAAAAATTCCTCTCACATGGTATGAGCCATGGCCATACATGCTCCTCCCATTGGAAAAATCACAAAGTGGCGTGTACAACACCAATATTCACATGATGGACACCCACCTTTACAGAGCACCCATGGCAAATGTTTGTAAAGTTAGTGATTTAGGTATTTAAAAACCTTATAACATGTATGTTCATGTCACATGCATAAAATAAAACCTAAGCCAAATCTTTATCCATTGTCTAGACTATTTCTCTCCAGAAGTTATGATCAATAACAAGGTATTGTTTAAAATGTTTGCCCTCTGTCATTGTGGATGTCTGTTGTCTCAGTATCCATAGTTTTGTGTTGTTCTGCATCTTCTATTATTTTTTTCTGGGGAAACTGGAGCACATGGAGGAAACCCATGCCAACACAGAGAAACATACAAACTCCACACAGAAAGTGGAGAGTCCCAGAAAGTAAAGTCCCTTTACCAACTTATCCAGCATATGTTTTACACAGCAGATGCCCTTCCAGCTGTAACCCATCACTGGGAAACATCCAAACAAACTCATTCATACACATACACTACGGATAATTTAAGCTTACCCAATTCACCTATACCACATGTTTTTAGACTTATGGGGAAACCGGAGCAACCAGAGGAAACCCACGCCAACAAGAGAAGAACATGCAAACTCTACACAAAAATGCCAACTGACCCAGCCAGAACTCAAACCAGCGACCTTCTTGCTTTGGTGACAATGCTAACCACAATAACTACATTGAAATCTGATAAATGCAGATTAAGTCATGAACATTAGCACTTTTTAAAATATAAAGTTTTCTAATATATTTTTTGAACTACAGTGCTTGAGCTCCAACTGGAAGTGTGGATTGATTGTAAGAGGTTGGCTTGGGTGGCATCAACACACCATTATTCCAACCAAATGATGTTTAAAAAGATAAATTCAGCATTAATTGTGTCTTCACCCTGACACTGAACGCGCATTTCAGATAAGAAGCCCAAGGGGAATCACAATGTCACTGCATTTCATCATTACAAGATACAAATGTGATCACAGAGCATGAAACTTCTGACTGATCTTAAAGCTCCTCAATTATCTTGCATTTTTATGACAAAGCATTCAGACCTAATCTCCTAATAAAATTCAGGATGACTGCATCTTGTCTAACTAGCGAGGCTTCTTTTAGCTGAAACTTTAGACTGAAACATGCACGCTATCTCATGAGATCACCCCAATCCTCCTTCTAACACACACACACACACACACACACACACACACACACACACACACACACACACACACACACACACACACACAGATACAGAGACATGCACTCTATCCATATCAATGGTGTCAGCTGAACACAGATGCCAACTGAGCTCTAGTCTCACTGAACTATTCATTACACCAACAGCACATCACTGACTCATTCAAGGCTTTTAACAGATACATTCTGGGAAATGTTAATGTAATAAAGTCATCAGCGTAGAAAACCCCCCAATAAAAAAAACACTGTGATTTCTTTTTCAGCTGTTAACAGTGAAATACAGCAAAAAATTGAGTGTCACAATGATTGGCTGATCATGCAGTTAGAAAGAAAATACCTGTCTAGGATGTTGATAACTGGTGCAAAAATCTAACTAAGCTGTAAAAATGACAGGCTAATTACAAAGTAGCAAAGTAGACAACTCACACACTCGAATGTAATAACTTTTTGGTCAAATGAAAATGACACAATCTACAAAAGCTGCAATAAGCTATAAGTGAACTGGTTTCTAGCAGAAATGATATGGCTCCTGGTGCACTTTTCTACACACCTGCAGTGTTGACCGAGCACATGATAAACACACATATACAAACACACACACACACACACACACACACACACACACACACACACACACACACAAATATACATTACTAGATATATTTATTAATAAATATACTAATATAACTAATATTACTTTATATATTACTAAACTCACTGATATGTAGAGGCCAATATACATTAGCTCACTACTACACGCCACTGGCATAAATAAAGCATTACAGATGCAGATTCTGTGCCATGAGAAAATGGAAACAAATGGGTTAAACGATGTGGCTGATGGAAGTGAATGAAACGATAAAGTTTAATCCATCAAATAGACTAGTAAACCTCTCAAAAATGCTCTAAATTAACATCACGTTCAGTCGCATTTGACTTCATTAGGCTATACCAGACATGACTTGAATGAATAAGAAAAACTTCACAGAGAAATGAATCGATCATGTTTGTCCCTAGGATGGATTCAATGGAATACAGATCCAGATCTAAAGAGGAGTGATAGCTAAATAAATAAAAGAAACGTGGTGTCGGTTGGAGCTCTTCAAATGCTTCTGTATTTGCTTAATATACAACAGAGATCTTTCATCCAGTCTCTTTCAAACGGACTTTGATGAAATTAAAAGAAAGAAACGTCAACTGAGGCACACTCAGACACGCGCTAAAACCATAAAATCATATTAGCAATTCGTTTAATGCTCATAATATTGCTTACTCACGCAGTTTATTTCAGTTATTTCCTTTCCTCATGTTCCCGCAGACCGCCGTTCACAGCAACAGTTACGCGAGCGTTTTTCACTCACGCGCCGCGCGGGAATCATTCATTCCTCCTGTCAGGAATTTACCGGACGGTCTCCGTTTCACTCAAACGTTAACCCACCATGTCGGATTAAAATCCAAGCTGAGTCTCCCCGGACAGACCCACGCAACGAATCCCATCAGTTGCAGTAGGTATGTGTCTTTTTCACTGACGAGGACGGACCGCCAGAGAACCGGTAATTTTACTTCTTACTGATTCTCCTTAAACGCTTAAGAGCAGGTCGGATCCAGGACGGTGTTGGTTAGTCCTCAAGTAACGATAGAAAGTAGAATGACAGCTCGAGTTAAAGTACAGCCCACCTCACACAACCCTCATTCAACCTTCTCTACCTCCCTCCTTCCTTTCTTTCTCTCGCGCTCTCTCTCTCTCTCTCTCTCTCATGAGGCAATAATCTCATTTGCCTGGTCAGAAAAGGTAAGGACAGGTAAATCTTTATGTGAACTTTGCAGTGTCCGAGAGGTTCATATGATGTCATAACATGTCCTGGTCATATCTAAATTTTTCCATTACAAAGTTACAATATACTTCATGATTTTTTTAAATATTATTTATTTGACCTCTGACCTTTAAAATGCTTCAAATTAACAGTTATTTTATTGTACACCATGGTAGTTTGTTGCTATAAATTACCTATAAATCATAATTATAATAATGCATAAAAAATAATACAAACACTTCCATGATTACAATTGGGCAATAGTACTTGGTTTCATTTAATATATTCTTAATATATTACTTAATATAATATATATTAAAAATATAATAAATAATAAATAAATAGACAAATAAATGTGCTCTTATTTAAAATGTAAAATATTCACACACAATGTTCAAATATGTTAAATAAATAAATAAATAAATAAATAAATAAATAATCATGCATACTCCCTCATACTTCTGGATTTATTTTCAGCTCATATTGGTTAAATATAACAAAACCGACTGCTGGATTATTATTATTTTTAATAACCACACATTCTTATTTAGTCCATATTTTTCCCAAATGTGGGTTTAAACAACCCAGCATTTTACAGTGTAACCATGACCAGAGTGCAGGAAAAAATATTAATATCTCTAAAAATACACTGCAAGTTTTCTATTTCTTTTGTTTTGGTTGGGGGCCAAATATTTCCCAGATGATATTATTTGTATGACCTCTCAACTTTAAAATTCTTGAAATGAACATTTATTTAATTATAAACCATTGTAGTTGGTTGCCATAAATTATCTATAAATAAAATAATTATTATTATCATAATCATAATAATGTATATAGAAATAATACAAACATTTTCATGATTACAGTTAGGTAATAGTACTTGGTCTCATTTTATTTATAGATAAATAAATAAATAAATAAATGCTCTTTTTTACGCACAATATTCATGTAGTATGTTAATATGTTAAAGAAAAAAAGAAAGAAAGAAAGAAAGAAAGAAAGAAAGAAGTAATAATCAATTTTTGGTAATCAATTTTACCAAAATGTAAGTTGAAACAACCCAGCATATTATAGTATAATCATGACACTTTTTAAATAGTGGGATGCGTCTTAATTATCATGCTAGACACCAGAGTGAAAGAAAAATATTGAAATCCCTCCCCCCCACCCCCCCACCCCACAAAAAAAAAATACTGCAATTTTTCTATGTCTTTTGTTTTGGTTGGGGGCCAAATATGTCATCATAATCATAATAACGTATTAAAAATATAATACAAACGCATTCATGATTACAATAAGGCAATAGTACTTGGTCTCATTAAATTCTATTAAATGATATACAAATAAATGCCCTTTTTTAAACGTAAAATATTAATGCTTCATATTAATATGATAAATAAATGAATAAATGAATAAATAAATAAATAAATAAATAAATAAATAAATAAATAAATAAATAAATAAATAAATAAATAAATAAATAATGATGCATACTTCCTCAAACTTCTGGATTTTTTTTTCATCCCCAAATTGGGTAAATAAAACAAAACCAACTACTGGGTCATCATTTTTTTAATAACCACACATTTTATTAGGTTGATCCATATTTTACCAAAATGTGGATGGAAACAAACCAACATTTTATAATGTAACCATGACTATTTTGAAATAATGGGATGTGTTTTAACCATCATGCCAAAAAAACAGTGAAGAAAAATATTAAAATCCCTAAAAATACACTGCAATTTTTTCATTTATTTTCTTTTGGTTGGGGGCCAAATTTGTCCCAGATACGTTTTTGTGAGACTCCCCTATTCAGCCAAATAGTGGGTACACAGGGACTTTCATGCATACAGAATAAGAACAAGCACATGCTGTGAACGTGCTGAGTTGAGAGTTAAATGCTTCTCATAAACATGATGCAGCCTCAGGTTGTGACACTGCAACCGAACAGTCTGAAAGAGTTTTGTGTTCCACCTATTTAGAAATTAATGCAGTCGGTGACAGAGAGTAACAGAGAGATGCGCAAACACTGGCTGGCGGTGCTCTTCTCTAGTAACGTAACCAGTTAACATCTTAAACGCAGCTCAGTGTAAGCGGAGAGGCTGTGGTCCAGTGCTCACATAACAAAAACCCTTGTAACATCACACCAGTGTAGCCCACCACTGCAGAAAGGTACTTACACAGAGCATCCAGGTGTTAAATATTGCTAAATATAGCTATTTACATTTGATAAACAAATAGATAAAAGCGTCTGCTAATTGACTAAATGTAAATGTAAACAGTAAATGGCTTTTTAAATAAATGCATTTTTTTTTTTCAAATTGTGCTGTGATAATTGTGGAAAAAAATGGTGTATTAAAGGGACAGTTGACCAAAAAACGAAAATTCACTTACCATTTACTTACTTTTAAGTGGTTCCACACATTTATGAGTTTCCTGTTTTTCATTGAACACAAAATAAGATATCTATAACCATTGACTTTCATGAGAAAATATGTAATGTGTATTTATATAGCGCATTTATTGTGTAAAGCGCTTCACATTCATGAGGGGGTCTCTCCACACTACCACCAGTGTGAGGCATCTATTTAGATGATGGGACGGCAGCCACAGGAAAATGGCGCCAGTGCGCTCACCAGCTAACAGTGTAGTGTAGAGACAGTAGCCCCTTTCACACAGTGATACCGGTAAATATCCGGAAAATTTCCGGAATGACTTTACCTGTAAGTTCAAAAAAGTGCTGTTCACAGAGACGAGGACGTTACGGAATTTTTCCGGAAGAGAGCATTCACACATCCATTTCAAAATACCGAAATACAGAAATGAGCTCTAAATGGCTCGGCTTGTGTTTGTAAACATTTGACTACATTACAAACTCTGTGGATGGATCAGTATTGTGAACAACTTCGATGAAATAGAGAAACACTTTCGCATGTCGAGATGTTAAGGAAATGTGTGTGTGCTCATGGGCTGTTTCACAGGCACAAGCAAAGCTTAAAGGTAAACAAACAACGGCTTATCAAGCATCTTATCCATAATTATTTACACGATTGGCATTAAGATGAACAAATAAGCGTTATCTGACTAACACCCAGCAGCTAAATATGTCTGGTAAAATATTCAAAGGCTTTTTTTTTTCATAAACTGCGCGGACGTGAATACGCCTGAGTGTTCTGATTGGCTAAAGCAGACGTCTCACGTCAGCATGTTCTAGACGTGCATGCGCTCTTTCCGGCAATCTTCCTTCTGCGTTCACACAGCGCAGCATTCCGTCAAATTACCGGTAATGTTACAACTTCTCTTTCCGGAAAATAGCCAGAATTAATTCACCGGTATTTTCAAAAAGGGCCTGTTCACACATATACACCTTTCTTGAAAATTGCCGGTAATTTTCCGGAAAGGTCTGTATGTGTGAAAGGGGCTAGTGATACAGTCAATTCGGTGGATGGGGATGATTGGGAGGCCTTGATCATAAGGGCCAATTGAGGGACTTTGGCCAGGACACCGGGGTTACACCCCTGCTCTTTCATGAGAAGCGCTATAGGATTTTTCATGACCACAGAGAGTCAGGACCTCTGTTTAACATCTCATCCCAAAAAAAAGGCCCACTGACAGTATATTGTTCCCTTCGCTATACTGGGGCATTAGGACTGGTGATCACAGGGTGAGCGCCCCCTGCTGACCTCTCTAACACCACTTCCAACAGCAGCCTAGTTTTCCCATGTGGTCTTTCATGCAGGTACTGACCAGGCTCAGCCCTGCTTAGCTTCAGTGAGTCACCGGTCTTGGGCTGCAGGGTGATATGGCTGTGGAAATTTTATTGAAGTCAATGGTTACAGGTTTCCAGCATTTTTTTAAATAACTTATTTTGTGTAATAAACTTAAAAAGGTGAAAGGGGAGTAAATGATCACATCATTTTCAGTTTTGAGTGAAGTTTGAATGTATGACCAAAAATGTATGTGCTCTAAAATAAACAATGTTAGTTTGTTTTGATTCAGTTATTAATTTTTGGCTTAGTCCCTTTATTAATCTGGGATCGCCACAGCGGATTGAACCACCAACTTATCCAGCGTATGTTTTACGCAGCAGATGCCACTGTGTATGGAATGAGCTATTTAAATAAACTTGTCTTGTCTTCCAACCCATCACTGGGAAACACCCATACATTCTCATTCACACACATACACTACAGATAATTTACTGTAGCTTACCCAATTCACCTATGGCGCATGTCTTTGGACTTGTGGGGGAAACCGAAGCACCAGGAGAAAACCCACATAAACACAGGGAGAACATGCAAACTCCACATAGAAATGCCAACTGACCCAGCCGATATAATAAAATGAAAAACTACTTTTTTATGTTGTTTGAACATTTGTTAGTGCAGTAATATCACCGCTTTTGTTTATGTATACAATGATAAACATTCATCACATTAAAATGTTAAAACTTCATGATCTTTATCTGCTAACTTTAGGGTGGAAACTTTATATGCAATTTTCATTTGTTCGTTTTATTTTCTGGCTTAGACCCTTTAATAATCAGGGGTCGCCAACTTATCCAGCATATGTTTTACACAGCAGATGTCCTTCCAGCCACAACCCAACACTGCGAAACACCAATACACTCTTGCAAGCACTCACATACACTACGGCCAACTTCACCTGTACCGCATGTCTTTGGACCATGGAGGAAACACGTGGAGAACATGTAAACTCCACACAGAAATGCCAACTGACCCAGACAGGGCTCAAACCAGTGACCTTCTTGCTGTGAGGCAATTGTGCAACCCACTGCACCATCGTGCTTACATACAATTTAAAATGTAAAATTAGAAGCATCACGATTCTGCTTTGAAAGTGTTAAAACTGCACAATTAATTTC